GRAAAAAAATTCAATAGTTAGGATGTAATAATTTACACCCTGTTGGTAAAGCATAATATTTCTCAATAAACTAACTGGCCTGAAGCCTTCCGGATTTGGACAAACTTATTAATTCCTATAAAGCCTAAGATCAAACAGAAACATTCCATTTTCAAAACTGATACTCTGCAACACTGCTGCTGTAAGACATTCCAAAATGCTGTAAGCATTCCAAAACCAGCCCCAGTAAAGAATATTGATGTTAGAAGCAATTAGTTTCCTTTCACCTTAGCTAGTTAATAGCGATTTCAGACAACATCTTCATCCACTCCTTCAGCTACCATTTGAAGAGAAAGTTCCTTTCTTCAAAACGGAAGCATCTTCTAGATTCTGGTTTCAGGAGCTACTTTCAAGTCATGAATTCAAAATGGGTTGAGAGTTCTCTATAATACAGAACATTGGCCCACAAGCCTAAAACCAAAAAACAAAACACCAAAAAACACCCCCCCTAACAAACAAAATAACAACAAAAAAAACCAAACCCACCAGGGAGATGTACTCACATTTTTGGTATTTCTTTCCACCCAACATGCACATTTTCAGAGACCTAGTTATAAGCACAAGGCATGRGGTCCATCCTACAAACATGGATGTTGCAAATTCCACTAGGGGCCTATACTTTCAGTAGTTACAAGGAGCAGATCCTCCTTGTAAGGCACAGGGACAGAACTATAAAAGTATTCTGGTATTACCATGTGTAGAGAACTATAACGTGCTAATAGCTAAAYTCCTTACATTATGAATGGAAGCAGCAACATACTCTGAGGCAAGGCAAAGAAGAGAGGATGTAAGAAAATACTGAGGAGTGAGGTGTGACAMAACCTTAATTCTAAACATCCATCCTTCCTCCACACACAGTATGCCACAAAGAAAAATACACAGGCATTTTTTAGACAAGTAGCTTTCCTGCTTGAAAAATTACTTCAGAAAGTATGTTACAAAAGTATAAATAATCCTTTCAAGCTAATACAAGCTTATGTTTCCTGCTGCTGGAAGACAACAGAAGATCCGTGGAACATCAGTACAGCATCACAATTTTCACCCCCAGCTCTTGCTCACAGATTTCTCAGCATCTCCCTGTSCTTCTCTGCTGAAGACGTACACCAGCCACAATACATGACAAGTTTTCCCTTCAAAATATATTGAGACCAGGACACTCCTTATGCTGGTCTTCACTTTCCACCAGGTAACTTGGGTGTCCTTGTTGCACTATTTCCAGGTAAACTGTAGCCTTGACTTTTCAGAGTAAAAGWGTCACTTTGTTCTTTGTGAAATGCCTCTCTTAATAAATAATATGGGTAAAAAACAGCACAACAATCCAAATTATCCAAATTCCATCAGACAAAACAAAAGGAAAAGTATCATCACATTCTTGCAGCAGGCCAAGCAGGCACCACCAATAGCTTCAACACTTAAACACCTGGCATTAAAATGACTCCTTTAGTATTAGCATTTCCTCCAGAAGTAAGTCAGAACACGAAACAGGGCTTCTGAATTATCTCTAAATAATCACAAGCCAATATTCAGTGAACTCACAGCGTACCACTTACGCTTAGTCCTCAGTATCACACTTGTAAGGGATGTTGCCATTACAGCTTTCTCCAAACAAGGAGGAAACAACAAGGAAAAGGGCAGCACAAAAACATAATCAGGGCTTTGCAGTGAGACAGTAACCTCTGCTTCTTTTGCTTCCGCATGCTGAATATCTTTCATCAGTGCAGAATTCTGGCCATAGCAGGAAAGTTTCTTTCCCCAAAAAACCTCCACAGAGAAATAAGGCTTGTAAGAAAGAAAGACTTTTTATATTACTGGGCCTGTAATGAAAGGGCAAGGGACAAATAYTTTAAACCAAACAGGGTAAGTGTAGATTGGACATAAGGAAGAGGATTTTTTTTATGATGAGGGTGGCAAGACACTGCAACAGGCTGTCCAGATCATGAGGAGTTTTCAAGRTCAAGTTGGACAGGGCTTTGAGCAACTTACAGCAGCTTTCCAGTACCTAAAGTGAGCCTACAAGAAAGATGGAGAGGGACTTTTTACCAGGGCTCATAGCTGTAACTCTGAGGTGCAGTTCTCCCTGAAAAAGCCAAGGGAAAGCATGAAGGATGTAATGGACATAACACTGGCATTTTCTTCCAAGTAAGAGCGCATAGTGGTAAAGATTTCCAGATCTATTGATCACAAGCTCAACTCAATATGGCTAGGAGGAACAAAGGCATTTGTTCTTCAAGAATATGCAGTGTTTACATGACCGTGTGCTTTGCCAGTCCATTTATTTCATKATTATGCCTCTTTTAAAACTTAAAAGCAAAATAAAACACCTTGGCTTTGCTTAGGGCAGGGAGAAACTGAATAGAATAATGAAGTCCATACGGACTATAAGTCCACCTCTTCAACTCTCCAAGCTGGTAGATCACAAGACACAAGTTTTTAGAATGAGCTCCTAAAAGATCTTGAAGCTTTTTTAACCTTTCCAGAAACACACTCTTGCATCTGAAGAATACAGATAAGAGACCAGTCCAAAACAGAACAGTTTCTCAAGTGGGCCTGTGGCAGATCTGCCATCTCTCAAGAGTCAACTCACCAGGCCCATACTKAACACAGGTATCACAGTTGGATTGTTCAAGTAGTAACAAGTACTTGAGGCTGAAAAAGCTGTTCACAAAGGTGATTCAGCATGCAAAACTCTTGAGCAGTCACCAGATGTCACCACATCTCAAACTCACAGGGACGCAGCAGCCCAAGTGACAAAAGCAGAAGAGGTTTCCATCATACATCCACAGCTTCAGGTCCAAAGTAAGGCCAGAAAAAGCAACTCAGCCAGCAAGACAATTTAAAGTGTGSACTTTGAGGAGGTGAAGGACCTGGACTGCACAGCCACACAAGCTTACTGACCCACACCACTCCACACAGGAGAGGAGCACAGGAGGAGGCTGCTTTCACCAAATCAACCTGCCCAGGCTGCTCCAGACATCTCGCTTCCTAAGGGACTTTCAGAAACTAAGAACACTGTGCATTCTCCTCGAAAAGAAACAGCTAGAAGCCAGGCCCCAAAACACAGTTATAGTTAAACTGAAGGCTTGACAACTTTGATCGAAATCTTCCCTTTGAACAGAATAGAAGGAACAAAGAATGGGTGYAGAGGATGAAAGAAAAAAATACCGAAGAGTCTCAGCCCATCTACTCTAACCCAGAAAACAAGAATAAAATCTGCTGTGTCAGAAACTCCCAGAAGGTAACTTGATTCAACAGCTGAACGTACACACAGGTGCCCATGACTGAGCGTAACACACAACTGCTTTTAAGAAATTAGAGCAAAGCAGGAGACTGTCATCCATTATGTATTAAAATGTAACACAGCATCTCTCATCAACCAGTAATRCAGAGCAAGCTGGTATGCTTGGAACTGTCGACGGTTCCATTGCATATGGAACATTGGCAGCACACCTCTAAACCAGCTCACCCACTGTTCAGAATGCTGGGAATAATTGTGACTGAACAAAAGAGAGTAAGGTTTAAACCAAGAGGTGACAAATAGAAATATGAACGTCAGTAGAAACCTCAGGATACACAAACTCCATCAGGTACAAAAAGAGAAGGCCTTYAAAAGCAGAGGAAGAACAATCACTTACCTTTCAAAAGTGGCTGGAAAGTTGGAATTTCCTGCAGTTTTATGACATCTGGATCATTGCTGACATTCCGYGAGGATTGTGTTCCTGGGGCTACCACTACGATGTCGTCCATTTTTGCTCGTTGCTTGGCTGGCAACGGAGATGCTGGATATGGGAAGGAGAAACAACAATCAAACTGACAAGCAGGTTCCACCAGAATCCAACCTTATGCGAATATTGCTCTACTGAGCACTGCACAGGTACGCTTTTTATAGCACACTGCCGAGACAGATGACTGAAGGGCTCTAATCTCCTTTCTCCCTGCAGACCGGGGACCAGCGGATCCCGGARCACCTGCAGCGTTGCTGCTCCCCCMGCTCCGCACCCGCGCCCCGGCTCCGCTCCCCCGGCCCGGGCGGTGCCCCCGCGCCGTCACAGGAAGGGCCGGGCCCTCCCAGAGCAGCAGCCCTTCCCTTCTCCACAGCCGTGCCCTTCTCCGCAGCCGCTGTCCCTCCCAAGGAAACAGCCGTGCCCTTCCCCACAGCCGCTGTGCCGGCACGGGCCCACTCCGGGGACAGCCCCGGCCCTCGCTCCCCGCCGGGCACCGACCTGCGGCGCTGGGCTCGCCAGGGCGGCTCTCGGCCTCGGCGCTCTGCTCCGCGCCCATGGCGCTGCCTGTCCCCCGCCCGCCGCAGCGCGGGGCCGCCGCCGCCCACGGGGTTCCGGCTGCGCCGGGTCACGGCAGCTCCGCCTGGCGGGCGGGGCTCCACTCGGGCCGCGGGGGCTGCGGGGCCGGGACAGCTGAGCTCTGCCTCGCCAGAGCCGCACGGCGCCCTCCAGACGCTGCAGGGTATTGCTGAGGGGTTTGGTGAACGGAAGGTCCTCAGCAGGAGCTGCAGCTGCCATGTCTCCCTGCTGCTCGGCCCACATATCTGCTGTGCTGTGTCCTGTTATCAACACCTCGCTGTTACCGAACAAGCTAGTGTTCTTTTAAAAGGATGGAATATCCTGAGTTGGGAGGGACCCACAGGGATCATTGATCCAGACCCMCCAACAATCCCACCCTGWSCATCCCTGGCAGCGCTGTCCGAACGCTCCTGGAGCTCTGKCAGCCTCGGGGCCGGGACCATTCCCTGGGGAGCCTGGGCAGTGCCAGCACCCTGTGGGCACACAAGAACCTTTCCCTGYTCTCCAGCCGGAGCCTGGCCTGGCCCTGTGCAGCCATGGCAGCCCTGTCCCTGTCCCAGCAGAGCTCAGGGCCGGCCCCTGCTCTGCCCCTCAGCAGGAGCTGCAGCTGCCATGTCTCCCCTCAGGCTGCTGCAGCCCAACAGAGCCCGTGCCCTCAGCCGCTCCTCAGCAGCTTCCCCTCACGGCCCTCGCCATCCTCGTGCCCTCCTTTGGACACTCTCCCGTGCCTTTCTGGCTTTGTGCCATGGTGGCACCCAGAAGTGCCCACAGGATTGGARCTGAGGCCRGCCCGGCCCAGAGCAGAGCGGGACAATCCCTCCCTGGCCCGGCCGGCCATGCTCAGCAATTGTGCTGMAATCAGCTCCAGGTGGGTAAAAGGTAATTTTAGTAGAGGGATCCACAGCCACCGACCCGCAGGCCACCAACCCAAAAGCTGCCTTGGCACAAAACAGAAGAGAAACTGAGCATATGGACTAATTAGCACAAGAAGTGAGAGTATAACTAACCAAAAGAAGTTAGAACACTAATTAATAAGAGAACTACATCACTTTAACCAATGAAGACTAATTCCTTTGTTTATCAAAATGTATAAATAGTCAAAACTTTTGATACCTGATTTCCATGTGTGGTGAGGCGATATCCACCAATACCTCTGTGCTGAATAAAGTAGTGTCCGGTTTTTAATCTAATAAACTGGGTCCAGCAGAGGCCACAGAGATGATGAGGGTCTGGAGCATCTCTCTYATGAAGAAACTGCCATGAGAGGAGTGGGATCTTCAGACAAGCTCTGCCTTAGCTTCAGATTTTGGCAACAGTTCAAATGTAAGGACTCACTMTGGCCCGCAAGTTCTAGTGATGGCAGATCAGGTCTGTTTATGAAAATGAATTATTTATTAAACMGACGAGATAAACAGACAAAACACCTTAATCAGAATTACTGACTATACCATATAAAACCAAAAAGAACTGCTAGTAGGTTACAGCATAACATAAAACAGTGCCCGATATCAAGGTGCCTCTATTAAAGATAGAAAAAGAAATAGTATTGATTAGGAGTCAAATGTARCTTCYCACTGAAATGACAATAATATAMACAGATTCCTTYACTCAGGCTGCTGCAGGGGAATAACTGCAAAGCAGCAWCCYCTGCTCMGGGGACAAACTCYACACATTTCCCGGGAAATAGACAGAAGATTTCTGCTTTGTGGAARTGTGGTRTGGCTTTTATAGCTGTAAAGTGAGGGATCTGAGTCAGAAGTCCAGCTTACCTTCCCAGATTTCTCTTGGATAGTAAGATGTTTAMTGGCAGTTGGGACATGGCCCCAAAATAACTCCCTGCAAGAATGCTTGCCCTGTGAGTTGTCTGACCAGTTAAAAATTAACAAAAAAAAAGCTCTTCTGGCTGTAATTTGAACAGGATCRCTCAGGTAGCAGGGAATGGAAATATGCCCATGTCCATTTAGTCCCAGATACGCACATTAATCGCATTCATTGCAGCTTCCAAAAGCAGATCTCAGTTGGACGAAAAGTCTGACTGTGGGCAAAACCGTATCAGCCTGACCATTAAGAGCTTCACCAAAGGTGTTTTTGCCTTTGTGTCTGATGCTCAGGAAGAGCCCTTGGGGCCGGCAAGTGGTTGGAGGAGCGGGAGGAAGGCAAGAGAAAGGCAGGGAGGAGAAGGGCAGACGGGGGAAGAGGGCAGGGAGAGGGAAGCGAGGGAGAAGGGCGACAAGAGAATGGCGGGCAGGCAGAAGGAAGAGAGGAGGAGGGCAGGTAGGTAGGTAGGTGAGCAAGGAAGCTCAGGAAGAGTTAGGGCGGGCAGGCGGYCGGGCAGGAGGAAGGAGGAGCAGGGAACAGGCAGCCCGGGCCCGCCCCCACGGCCCCTCCTCCCGGACGTGCAGGGACATTCGCRGTTCCCCCGAGCCGTGCCGAGGCTCTGCCGCTGCCTTCCCAACCCCGAGGGTGCCCCGGGAAGGCGTGYTCGCCCCGGGAGCAGAGGAGGCCACCGCTACACGCTCCCCGAGGAGCCCCGCGGGGACACACCCGGCTCACCATGTCCCGCCGCTGGCCGCTTCGCCTGCTGCTGCTCACCTGCGCGATGGCCGGGCCGGCCCTGAGCCAGGAGTGTTCGGCGGAGAAGATGGACAACTCCATCATCGACATAGACTTGTCGCTGTCCCGCGGCGTGCGGGGCGCGGAGCCGCTGCGCGTCCCCAGCGCGGACGCGTGTGCCCGCGCCTGCTGCTCGGGGCACCGGCTCGCAGGTAACCGCGCTCCCTTCTCCTGCGACAAAATGCTGCTGGTTGGGTCCGTATTCAGCGCAGAATTTATTCTCTCGTTCAGGCTGCGGCTGCTACCTTCTTTTGCTAGTACACCTCAGATCTTAAGGCAAGATCCCGCAGTGTTCAGGAAGGTAGWTGCATCACAGAAACAGCGTTAGTTTTAAATGTTAAAACCTCACAGATCCCCAACCCCGAAGGTGTGTAAGCTGTATTTAGTAGATGCGCTGAAAGTAACTGACATTTTGCACTGTATTTAATTTTAGCCAAGAATGAGAATGCTMACCCTCCTCTGAGATAGCTGGTTTGAACCAAGCTCTTGGAGCAACAGGAGGTAGAAATGACAGTGGTGAAGGTGATCCCCCCGAAGCAACAGCTAGCCAAGCAATTCCTGGGATGTGATAAGGAAAATTGTCTAAATAATTTTCTTCCCCCTGAGTATATCGAGGAAGGTTTTCATATTTATCAGGATTTGTAAGCGAGAAATTGTTGTATAAAGTGTTGCCAGTGTGGTATGGGTGAGGGGAGGATAYGAGATTAAACTCGTAATTTCCCCAACTGTATTTGTACAGGAAAAGGAAGGTGTGACCTTTCATATTTTGGCCCTGRGCCATTCTTTTGCAGTCCATAGCTGTTTTTCCTGTAGCAATGTTACGTGTTAGTAATTTTCCTCTTAGCTCACATGAGGAAAAGTTAACAAACTAGATCTCATTACCATACTGCCATAAAAGTTCTTATTGGTGAAACAGGCATTTTGTTTTGCAGGAGACAAGAAGTGTAATTTGATTATTTTTTATGCTGCAAGAACAAGCASACATCCAAACTGCTACTTGTTTTACTGTCCTAGCACTGAGGCTTGTCCGATGAAACCTGCACCAGGACTTGTGAGCTACAAGATAACCACAGGTAAATAATAGTGAGAGCCACCAGCCCCTWCATTTGGGGGCTTTTGCCCCTGGGAACTTTCAGCAGTGACCAGGAACTGTTTGGGAGTYGTGTTTGTAGTAAAGTGTTCTAAGCCAAGCATTATAATTTGAAAATATTGCACTTTTTCTCTGTGGAGGATGGATGGGCAGGTGTTTGGTGAGCTCCTTTGTGGGCCCAGCTTCCTGCTTGGAGTCATGTCCCGACCTGTATAATATTCCTTCACATTAGATTCAGAACTCCTCGTAATTTGTCCTTACTTGAGGTATTCAACAATGAAAATTTCCTGTACATAATGCTGAAAATACCACCAAAACCAAAGGAAATACCATGCCCTTGTATCCAGCTAAGTATTGAAAGGACCCATTCCATACTGATGAAAAATTGGTAAAGGTAATCATTATTTTCTGCTTTCAGTTAGCACACTTTCTAAACTCAGAGGTTTATGACATGTGGGCTGCAAGCTCAGGAATTTTTTTCTCTCTGTCCTACACTGTGGGATTTTTAACAGCAAGGMCTGCTTGTTGATTGACATTGACTTGCACCAGGCCTGTTTGAACAGCTCAGATAAGAAACTGATAATTAGACTGTCCTGCCAAGAGTTTACAAGGTGCTTTCATTATGGCTGCTTGAGAGAGCCAAAATTTTGTATTTCCACAGACTGAACTTTTGCTGAAAAAGAGAACTTTTCCCATAGGAACTATGAAAGGAGCAGCAGTATGATATATAGAAAGATTACTCATATAATGCTGCCAAGTGTTTTTATGGCAATTGTGCAAAAGCAATGTGCAACAAATGCACAGCATTTCTGTAAAATTATTATTATTATTACACTTTCCTCCAGTTCTTTCTCCCCTAGAACATCGGGGTTTCAAAGAATCAAGAGATGTAATTGTGGTTGTGCTTTTGTTCTGCATGTAGTGCAATGCTGAGTGAAACTTGATTGCATATACCAYCTCTTTTTAATTTTGCAGATTTTAGCTTCTGTGAACATTAAATTATGGAAAGATTATTTAKATTCTATTCTCTTCTATTATATATTACAAACATGAGTTTGTTTAATGATCCTAATAAATTCTCAAGGTAGCACCTGAGCAGTGTTGGTACCCATAAATGTTTCAAACTTTGTTCTTTCATATGAGAATCTGTATGTAGTTACACTRAAAACCAACCTAGGAGGGGGAAAGATACTTTCAAAATTATTTATTTCAATTCCAGGGCAGTTAACAAACCTTTTTGTTTCAATAATAAAAAGAGATGAGTGAGAGTCAGAACCACTTGAGAGCATGCTGCATTTTAAATGTTCTGTGCAGCAGCTGAATGGTTATTATTAATATTATGTAAATAMATTTCTATAATTTTTAATATAATTATAAATTACATATATAGAGAGAGGAATTAACGATTAGCCAGTCTTTCCAAGAGTTCATGCTCAGCCAAATACTCTCTATAATAACTGTAAATCAGGTAAATACTGTAAATCATGTAAATACTGTAAAAGAAATACTGTAAAATCAGGTAGCTTTTAGGATTATCATTCATTTGGTATTTCTGCCACAGAACACAGTTATGTGACTAGGCTTGAGGCTGACAGGTTTTATGACATAGAATTTAAATGTCACTGTGCATATTTTAAAAAAAGGAAGTTTCATAAATCATTATCTYTTAAAGCCCTCTTATAAATCTGTTTCTAAGAAATACAAATAGAGTACGCCTACCTTAGTCACAAATAGATTTAATAGTTAAATACCAGTRTTTCTGTTTCTAGACACCCATGCCCAAGAGGATACATCCATCAAAACTGAGAACTTCYCTTCAAATGAGCATTCTTTGCCTTCRGATGCTGGAACCTTTATTTCTCACAGTCAGAACAGCCATCAGAATGGTACTGCCAGTTTGCAGCAATCTGTCTTTCATCAGGCCTCTGAGCTCCTGAACCACATAGGCAAGCATTTAGACAACATGGAATTTCATACAGCTTTTCCTGAGTCCCAAAGAGGAAAACAGCCTGAGAGCTCAGAACCCATCTCAAAGCAGAAAGTAATTAGTCCAGCACCAAACACAGCTTCTGCTGCTCCAGCTGCAAACCCCCCTTTCCCGTTCCCCACCACCACTCAGGCAGCTGCTCCTGACACCAGCAGAGCTTCTCTCACTCCTGTGCCTACAAGTCCAGCCCAGCTGGAGTCTGGTACAACCTCTGTGCATCCTGGTGTTGCTAAACCTCCTSCAACCCTCCCCACCCCAGCTGCCTCTCCGCCTGCTGCAGCCACTGCAGCCAAACCCGGTGTCCCTGCCACCACCATYGCTGTTACTCATGTGCCTCTTTCCAGGCCCACCACTGCTGCTTCTGCTTCTACAACCAAGCAGGTGACCACAAATCCCAGCTCTGCCACTGCCCCATCAGGGCTAAGGACTCCAGCCATGGCTCCTGAGCCAACAGTTGGCTCTTCCAACGATACCAGCCATGGGACCGTCCTCTCTTTGCCAGGTTTCATTCTGCCCAGTGATTCTCCTGAATCTTCCCAAAAAGATCTTCGAGGTTCTGAGCCATCTGACTCAGAGAGCTCTCTGTCAGAAGGTGTTCTGGGAGGGAAAGGTGTTTTTCAGCTGGGGGAGAAGAGCAGTCTGGTAGCAGCTYTGCTTTTTGGTGTGATTTTCTTATTGCTAGTTATTGTGCTGACTGGGAAGAAAATACACGAATCTCTTCGGAAGAGGCACTACACCAAGCTGGATTACCTGATCAATGGAATGTATGCCGATGTGTGAATCGGAGAAGGAATCAAATTTTAAGGAGCATCTCTCACTTTTGTGAGGAGAACTCTGAAATGGGACAGCAGATCTCAGAATCTCAGAAGAGGATGGATTCCTTTTTTGGGCTCTAATGGGAAAGCAGGAGACAGGAGATGCGTTTGGTGGGGAAAAGAAATGCTCTGTCTGTGCTGAACTATAATGTCTGTCTTTTTTGATTTATTTCTAAATCCTGAGAGTAAACACTCAAATCCAAGTTAAGCTAAGAAGGTCTTATATTTAAGGAGAAAAAGCATTTCATGAGCTTAATCTGTACCATGACAAGATTAGTGAAATAGAAGTGCACCTAATAAATTGAGTACCTGGGCAGCAYGTGGGCATTTTCGGGGCTACATGCCAGTGTTACAGATTTCCCGGCAATCCTATTTACCCTATTTGTAGCTTTAAAGAAATATTTAGTGACAGAGCTTTGCATCCAAATGGTTTTAGGTGCAAACAGGGGAAAAAAATCTTACATATGGCATAATTTGATTTTCATTAGCTACATATGTTTAATGGTTACATACATATCTTTAAAGTTCTTTTTCTGAAGACATCACAAGTATCCTTAAAACCACATACTGCAAATGCCCTCAAAGGACACCCTCTTCACTTCTGGTGTCCCCTTCATGTGACTGGCAGTAAGCACAGTTGTTTATTAACAGTTGCTCTTGATGATATTCGAGGTTTTATCCAACCTAAACAATCTACAATTTTATGTTTCCCTGACTCTTCAACAGGGAGAGTAAGTGGGAAAAAACCCATCCCTGGGTTTTTCTCCTGCAAAACAACTTCCAATTCATGTTAAATTTAAATTTCCCTTTGCACACACTTGGTCTAAACCTGGGTTTGGAATGGCAGACTGGATTTCAAAGTGTTCATGTCAGGTGGCATCATCAACAAATGTCACGGCAGAGGAGGAAGGGTGCCTCATGACTGCAAGGAAACAGTTCTATTACAAAATAGGAAATTTGACTCACATCCAAGAGATTCTTAGATCTGTCAAGCTTAGTGTGGTGGGAAGCAGGCATGATCCAAAAAATGGCCTCAAGGCAAGTTTTCTGAAAGCTCTAAATAACTAAATGCAGAAAATTCTCTGAAAATTCCATTATTCAGTGATCAAAGAAAAGTCAGTGTTCCTTGTGTCAAGAACTTAAATTCTTGCTRTATGGAGGCTGCAAATTGCTTCACAGATACAAAACCAGCTGGTCTGCTACATTGTTTAAATCTGACAATGGTTAAAAGAACAGCATTCTGGATAGCCACTTAAAAGGGAACAAAATTGCAGAAGGAAAATACCTCAAATTTATCAGATTGTTTGTTGACTGCTTTGTTCAACCTCTTTTTTTTTTTTTWTTTTTTTTTTTAATAGCTATTTTCAGACGTTTCTGGTCAAGGAACATGACAAGGAGCAACAACATTTCTAGGAAATGAGTTCACAGAGTGATAAGTACTAGGCCTAGCTGTAAAAATGTAGATGCAGATCTGAGGCTGACCATAATTTTCTCTTTAAGAACTGCAACCTTCATGAGAAGCTTTCTATGTTGCTGGTGCCATCYCAGCAGAGGTGCTGAGAACAAGCCCTGAATCCTCGCTGTGCATTTTCTGCTGCAGTGGAAAATTTGTTGGAGGGGAAGGTGGTTGGTATTAACTGATATGGTTACGGTGCAGTAGCAAAATRTTCAAGAGAAACCAGCAGATGTATCTTGGGGTTGTTCAGAGCACGGGCATGTTACAAGGGCATGTAGTCATAGGGCAAGGGGGAATGGCTTTAAACTGAAAGAGAGAGGGTTTAGATTAGATATTGGGAAGAAATTCTTCCTGTGAGGRTGCTGAGGCCCTGGCACAGGGTRCCCAGAGAAGCTGTGGCTGCTCCTGGATCYCTGGSAGTGYCCAAGGCCAGGCTGGACAGGGTTTGGAGCAGCCTGGAATGGTGGRARKTGTCCCTGCCCATGGAATGAGCTGCTCCYTAAGATCCCTTCCAARCCAACACCCTCTCTGATTCTGTCCCATGTCATTAGGAGCTSTGCCCTCCTGCCCAAACAGCAGCACATGCCCAGCACAGTGAACCACACAGCGAAAGCTGAGAGGTGCACCAGCACCATCACTGATTTGAGGAGGATGCTGACCTCAGTGGCCTTTCACAACATTTGAKTAAAACAACTTTAAATGTTCTTACATGAAAAAACCTTATTTTGTGCTCAAGAAAATAAGGTATTAGGCATGTGTACTGAAACACTTCTTTTTAAAAAATTTTACCCCTCCGTTTGTCATGTTGGATTAAGAACTAATGGGAAATTAATTGATAGCTGATGAGTTTGGTTCTTTGTGGAGGGGCCTTTACAAATTGTGTTTGAACACTAGAGGGCAACAAYAGTTTATTAAATAGAACTGACATGTTTTGAGGAATTTTTATGATTTTAAAAAGTTTTAATTAGTTTGGGGTTTGTGACTTTCAAACTATGGCTATTTCATTGCAAAAAGGTTTTYTAGGAAAGCTTTTTGTTTATCGGARGGTTCTGGGTGGAGGGTTATATATACATTTAAACTTTTTACTGTATCATATAATGTAGAAGAAAACAAAACTCTATTGTTTCTATTAAAATATTCTCTATTTTAATAACATTGAATCAGATTGCATTATTAGACATATATTGGCATTTCCAGTTAACAGAGAAGGAGAGAGAGAGATTTCCCATCATCATTCTTTTGATTATGGTGCTTTATTATATGCATTTTTGGAGGTTTTTATCCATTTGYCTGGATAATGAATGCTCTTGTATTATCAATCAAAAAGGAGCAAGACAAAGTAACAAAAAACCCATCCAGTTTATGATTTCCAACCTTAAAACTCCTGTGCACTCTTCTGTTTTCCTGCTGACATCTCCCGTGGTCTCCACTGTGCACCACACATGGGACTGGATCATTAATCACCACACTGTGATGACAACCCACACTCTTGGGGTGGCTCTTTCTGAAGGTAACCAGTTATGTTATGGCATGAGGCCAAAAGCTGATAGACTTTTGTCACCTGGAGAGTGTAATAAATTCTAGAGCTGCTTGCTTTCATGTGTTGTTTTACAGTGCTGAGCAGACATAAGGTGTGTAAATACAGATYTGTCACGAGCAAAACTGGTTTGTGCTATTGTACAGTAAAGCAAATAGAATGCYCAGATTTTATAACCACTGCAAACAATCATAAAGAAATAAACTGCAGATCTRTTTGACACGGATGAGAAGAGTGCAAAATCCCTACCTCAAAAGGGCTGCAAACTCAGCATGGTGTGTTCTCAGCAAATACTGCTTYGGTTCAGTGTAACTCCTGTAAGAGTATGAAATGCTTATATTCAGGATTATTTTAAGTGAAAAATTACTAACCAACTAACAAAATSCATTAGATGAGTGGATTGAGGGCTGCTCTGCAGAGAAGGACTTGAGGTGGATAAAAAACTGGACAACGTGCATTGGCAGCCAGCCACAGCCTGGGCTGAACCAAAAGCAGCATGACCAGCAGGTCACGAGTGGTGATTGTTCTACACCACCTGCAGTAYTGCATCCAGTCCTGGTGTTCACAGCACAGGAAAGACAGGAACCTGCTGGAGCATCTGCAGAGGTGGGCCACAAAAATAATCTGTGGGAACAGAGTGAGAGAGCTGAGCTTGCTCAGCCTGAAGAAGGGAAAGTTGCTACCATGGCCTTAAAGGTGGCTTAGGAGAAAGATGGACAGAGGCTTTTTAGCAGAGCCTGCAGTGACAGGACACCAGTGGTTTTAAACTGAGAGAGATYAGAAAATTTTTATGATGAGGGTGGTGAGACCTTGGCACAGAGTGCCCAGAGAAGCTGTGGCTGTTCCATCCCTGGAAGTGTCCAAGGCCAGGCTGGATGGGGCTTRGAACAACCTGGGATAGTGGAAGGTACCCCTGTGAAAGGATCTATTGGAAGGTGGAGGGGGGTRGGCTAAATGACCTTTAAAGCTCCCTTTTGACCCAAATCATTCTGTGATGCTGTGGTTCTATGACTCAAACTGAGGGGTACTGTACAAAGTGGGAGCAGCAGCTGAACAACTGCTAAAARTGCTCTGCAAACATTTTTGTCTCCTATCTTTAAGTGGTTTGGCTCTGTGGTTCCCATTGTTTTGGGGTTTTTTCACATGGTGACTGGAACACCTTTTCCTATAKTGAATGATTTACTGCTACAGTGTTCTCTAAGCCACACATACCCTAACTGTTTCCTCCTGTTAAAGGGCCAGTGTTTCTTAGCCACAAATGAAGATAGGACTCTAAATCATAGTTTCTTTCAACACTTAGAGCTTTGGTTAGCTTAAAAGAAAAAAGTGTTTGGGGGAAATAGCACTTTAAATGTATTGTTCAAATAAAAGATTCCTTAATATGCCAAGATTAAACGGGGATTTTGCTCCATGTAAGCTCTTTTCAAATTGTTATAAAGGCATTAGATTTTTCACAATTGCAATAAGGAAAAAATTAGTAGAAGTTGCATTAACTGCAAAGCTCTGATMCTGAAAAAAAGGCATTGGAAGGAGCTTTATGAATCAGGGCTATTCAGACACAATTCCCTGTCTTTCATTCAAAGATCCATGTGACCAAATACTGTCTKTGTAGGTTTGACTGGGGAGAGGGTAGAAAAAGGAGGGATGAGGAATGGATTGGGTAGCCTCACTCTAATGACTGCTTCTTCCTGAGAGGAGAAAATATGATCTAATTATTCCAAAAGAGAATGTTTATATCTCTCAATAATATCTTTATAGCAGCCACTAGTTTTAAATAAATATATTTAGGAACTGGCTCTGACTTTCTCTGAGTTTTCCTTTGTGATTTACCTACATTTCATTGGCAGCTGTATTGGAAGAGTCTTTATCAAAGCCTAGGCTGTAAAGAAATTATTCAAAGAACTAATGAAAATGAAAAAGCAGTGAATGACACTTCAGCTCTGTATAWTTGCCTCTTCCATCCCCTCATCACATGGAGAATGAGTTACAGGCCATAAGCCACAGAAACCCTTCTATATGGAGCCAGTGCAAGCTTAAGGACCCACATGCATCCCTGCTGTAAGAGGCAATGCCTTGTGATGAGTTGATTTAAAGATTTGTTTTGTTTTGTTTTGTTTTGTTTTAAAAGTAAGAATTTTGTTCCTTGAAGTTTACTCATGCCAAGAGTGAGATTGTGCTCTAGGGCATTCACAACAGCTTTAATGATACTGAAATAAACTGCATATCCTTCACGCTATTTTTTCAKACTTTGAAATGTTTCCCACAGGGAAAYATAAAATTTGTCAAATCCAGTATGWGTAATAGTTCTGAATTGTCAGAGGCATCCCTCTTCCTCTGAGAAACCCTGGCTAATGGTAGTAGTTTAATGAAAATATTACCAAGAAGATGCCTCCATCTTCGTTTTTAAGGATTAATTTATTCATCAATTAAGAGGATAACAAAGATWTGGGTTTTCCTTGAAATAATAAATCGTTCCAACATCTTGCGTTTGTGTGGCCTTACCTTAAAAAYCACTCAGAAGAGGAGCATTTCATAAAACAGAGCAGACATTAAACCCARAGATTAACCATTAGAGGGCAATCTTTCCTGCTCTGAGGAACTCAGAATGCCTTTCYAGCCTATTTTGAGAACTTGACTAACAGCTCATAAAAACAACACCGCTGAAGAGATGTTCATATCATGGTTGATGCTCTACACTAATATTCTTCAGGTGCTTAGTGCCTTTGCTGAATGGCAGACTGATTAATATATGAACATAAAAATAAAGAGATAAATACCAACATAAATATATAAACACCGCTATAAATATGAAATAGGAACAATAAATATAAATATGACTTTTCCTCACACTGTTTGAATGAAGAGGGATAAGTCTCTTTGCTTGCCATGAACARCACTCTGTGGCACAGTACTTTAGCCCAGAAGTGGCTACTGCAGGTGGCAAATGAGCTCTTCTCAATACACGTGTGCATCACACAAAAATTGAAAACTGTTGCAGGAAAGAYTGCCAATTATTGTGACACAGTGACTTACCTTTCTTGACCATAGGCATAAATTCTAGTCACTAATCCCTGTGACTAAAAGAGTGCAAGAAAATGTACAATRCTTTACCAGTAAGTAATTTTTAAACTTCAAAGGCTGCAGTGCAAAGCAGAATTGTGAAGTATTATGCATATTGCAAAACGCTGAAGGGGTTTGAAAGGGGGTTGAAAAGGAAATATTCTTAAATTGTTGTTGCTTAAAAGGCACGCACGTTATGGTTAATAGAGCCCAGATGCTGACTGGTTTTGAAAAGCTGAGCAAGCTAAAACAAAATAGTGTTTTGGTRTCTGTCAGCCTGAAGTGTGAGCTCTTTTAAAAGGATGTTTTCACTGTATCAACATAGCATTAAAGCACTTTACAGATTTTAGAACAGCAACTTTCTCAAATGACATTTTTATAGTATGGCTTTGAAATGTAACCACGGCTAAATATTCCCAAAGAAAGTCTTGGACTTGCCCTGTGGTCTGGTGGGCAGTGCCAAATTAAAATCAGAATCCTGCATGGTTCACGCTGAAAAACACGACCAGCAAAGAAGTGTATCCTCAGGCAGTGCTGTTTTCAACTCCCTGGGAGATGGGAGAGGAGAAAAGAGGCAGTAGGTAGACAGCCTGACCTTGAATGCACCACCAGCAGGAGTCCAAACGCTCCTCCAAAGGCATAAAGAAAATGCCCAAGCCTTCCAGGTCATCTTATTTCATATTTCCCWGTGGGGATATTGGTGGATTTCTGTYAGACTAGCTTGCCTGTATGGGCTGCTGAACTCAAGCACCTTCTCCTCTGTGAAGTTTTTGTTGTAAGGATTTTTTTTTTAGCCACAAAGAAACGCAGTTCTCATCCCGGGCACCAGGCAGCCTCTTCTGGTAGAGAAGATGGGAAAGAAAGAATGGGTATTAAAGCAGGGAGGGGGAGTTGGGGTGGGGGAGAATAAAATAGTAGCGAAACGCAGGGAGAAGATGCAACTCTGTGTGCCATAAAAAAGGGATTTGATGGGATATTKGATTGGAAAATTGCCCCAGAATTAGTGGAAGTGCTGATTTTTGATGTGGTTTGCCTGATCCAGAGGTGAGGCCCAAAGATGAGCACAGGGCTGGTGTGCCTCTGCCATGAAGACAGACTGAGAGAGCTGGGGTTGTTCAGCCTGGAGGAGGTTCAGGGGAGACCTAAAAAAAGACCACCAGAACCTGAAGGGGACTTCCACAAGGAGAAGGGCTTTTCCAAGGGCATGACAGGACAAGGGAAAATGGCTTCCAACTGAAAGAGGGCAAATATTAGGAAGAAATTCTTTATTATGATTCTATGATCTGGTTCTCTATTCATTGAAGAAGGAGTGCTATAGTGAACGCATTGCACTCTTGGAACACGATAAAGTGTGTCAGACATATCCATCACATTTATTAGAACTGGCCTTGTTTTGAGGAAGGGTTGAATGAAACAGTTTTTATAAACTGTATGACCTTGGCAACGTGGCGAGATGATGATGATGATGTCACAAGTCAGGGTGTCCTATTTTATCTGTGAAGTCTGGTTGTAACAGACATCATTGGATGGCAACATTACCTCCCATTTCCCAAGCCACTGAGCTGCAGACTTTGCTGCTGGGGTCACAAGGACTTGAGCTTGAGTTTCAGGATGAAACCCTGGCTCTTTTGAACTCAGTGAGAACTTTACCACTGCMTTCAGAGGGACCAGCATTTCAGCACGCCACACCCATTAATTCTTGTTGAAACATAGTTATGATAGTGGCTTCTGTGATGTGGGCAGCCACAAATTCATTTGCTGAGCACCCATCTTCTTCTAACAGCTTTTGTTCATTAGGGACTTTGGTTCTGGTCCTACAGAAGATCCTATTGACTCCACTCAAATTTGGGGCACAGTTCAAAAGTAGAATGACTCTGGCAGTTGCTGCTGATTTCATGAGCTCCAGCTGCTGTCCCTTGCTGTCCTGGGGGCTACACAACTGCTTGTGGAGCTGGGCCACCAACCAAACCAGGGAATTTACCCAAGTATAAAAATAATCCCGTGAAAGCTCTTGTGCCATTGAGCCACAATCCAAGTTCAGAGGTAAGGGTAAARCTGTGCAGGTTACTCAGCCTCAGCTGGATTTGAGCCAGTAAACCAAGGTTCCCCTTTCTAAAGTGAGTGAAAATAACTGCAACCAACCAGGGAAYCTCCTCACAAAAATWAAAGAGACATTCCCTCTCCACTTAYTTTAAGCTCAAAWAAAGGAATATAATCATCATGGAGAWATCATGCCTGTTGGAGACTTTTCTSTGTGTGGTAATTTGCTGAAACTGAAACAGGGCAGATATCTAGGTCAAATATTAGCAAAACCTCTTCCCTGTGAAGGTGGTGAGGCCCTGGCAAAGGGTGCCCAGAGAAGCTGGGGCTGCCCCATCCCTGAAAGTGTTCAAGGCCAGGTTTGGTTTGAAAGCAACCTAAACTAGTGAAAAGTATCCCTGGGGATTGGAACTAAGATCTTGTTTAATGTCCCTTTGCAACCAAAACCATTCTGTTATTTTATGATACTTGAGCTGGAATAGACAGAGGAGGATTCTAGGCAGGCTGTGGGGAAAGGGGCTAGGCTGAGGGAGGTGAAGCCAATAATCATTAACCAGCTCAGAGGAAATCCAAGCAGGAAAAGGTTTGAAAAAAGGCAAAATGCACCAGGGGTGACAGCAGACAGTGTTCAAAAGCTAAAAATAAAACCAGTCATCCTGGACAGCAGGGAAGATGTCTTGAAGAGTCAGAGCAACCAGGCAGGGGATCAGGCTCCCAAGGGAGATAGTCAAGACACCAGAGTGTTTCCAGCAGAAACAGATAAGATGTGAGAGGGAATGGCATGTAGAGAAATGTTTTTTTGTGATGCAGGGGTTCAGGCTTGAGGTTTTTYCTCAGATGTGAGCTGTRTGATTAAGATACAAAGAATTCATTACAGATCTGCCATACTTCTCAAGAGGTTAATGACAGATTGTGAATCACTATGAGGATGGGAAAAGTATAAGGAAACACCGAGAAAAAAAAAACAAAAAAAAAACCGAATCCAAAATCAACCACAACCTCATTTTCCTTTTAGATTCCAATGAAACAGTGAAAATAAACATGAAAGTGTGCTCCTTTGGCCCGCTCCTGTAGCAGATTTTAGTAGCAAAATCTGGTAGTGACAACAAGGGCTGGGCACAGGTTGTCTCWTCTTCAGGGTACATTTTTGTATGGCAAGTCTTCCCATCCATTATCCATGTGGATCTTGCTCAAGTTTGCTAATCCTCCCAACTGACAGCACAGTAATAAAGGAGGCTATTTCACCCAGCAGTCAAGGACAACATTTTGTAATGCAGACCTGGCTTCAGGCAGATATTGCTGCTGAGTTGCATTGTTTACATTTTCAAAATCTTTTTTTTTGCAACCTTGAAGGTTGGAAATACACTTCCTTAGAAAAAAAAAATCTGCTTTCTTCTATTTTTTWAATTTTTCTGCAGCAAAAGCTCAGAGTCTGACAACATCCCATGACACCAGGAGCCCTTTAAAATCAGTGCACAATGCCCAGGCCTTTAATCTGGCCCAGATGTTATCTCCTACTGTAATAACAAGAAAAGCTATGAAAATAAGTGTTGAACAGATATCAGGTAAAAGTTAAATGTTTCTGTGAGTTTCCAATAATCCTGAAAATAATACWGATTTTGGAATGGAAGTACCTCAAATGTTACTCTAAGTTGTTCTGCTTCATCTCATTATTCTACTCACCAGCTGTCACATTCTGTGAGGGAGAACGTGATGTAGACGTTTAGTATTAATACTCCTCGTTGAAATCATGAAACAGATTTTCTAATCTAGAGGAAACACAAGAAAGCTGCATTTTGTATTGTTTATTAGGAACGAACAAAGAAGGAGCTGAGGGAAGTTTTTTTTCCAGCTGAGGGTGTATTACAAAATCTTAACTTTTTCGCCTCTTCGGAAAGAAAAGGGTATGTTTACTCGAATGAGGGGAAAAGACTAAGTTGTGTTTAAACACAGCACATTGGCCACTCATTTATAACACCGCTCTAAGCAGCACAAACCCAGCCTGCCACATTTAGTTTAGCAAGGGGGACAGCAACGCAAAGCACCCCCAAAATCGCCGGGAAACAAATCACGCACCATTACATCAGCCAGGCAGCGATTCCTGCCGATAAGGGACGCCTCAGCGCTGGGAAAGGCCGGGATTTACCGCTCCTCAGCCCGCACACAGCAGGCACGGACCGTAACTTCATTCTGCCACACCGGCGGCCTGCCGCCCCCCGCTCCGGGATCGGGAACGGGATYGGGAATGRGAACGGGATTGGGAATGGGATGGGGATGGGATTGGGAACGAGAACGAGAACGGGATCGGGATCGGAGCCTTTGTGCCGTCGCTCGGACGCCGCCGCAGCTCTGAGGCAGAAAGTAGTCCCGTCCTCACGGGCCAGGGCTGAACCGCATCGCAGGCGGCGGAGGGGGCGAGGGGAGGCGAAATAGTCCCGCTGGAATGCGGCCGGCCCTCACCTCGCCCCGTCCCTGTGCTCGCCGGGTGCCGTAACCCCGCTTGCCCTCCCTCGCCCAGGGAACCCCTCCGGGCCGCGGCCCCCGCCGGGCTCCTGCCGGCTGCGTGCACGATCCCGCCCGGGAGAGGAGAACCGTGCACCTCCGCCCCTCAGCTCCGGCCCTCCCCGGCGGGATCGGTGCCGGGGGGCGGGCGCTGCGCCGGGAGCCGGCCGGGCACGGCGCGGGAGGAGGAGGAGAAGGAAGAGGAGGAGGAGAAGGAGGAGGAGGAGGACTGTATCCCTGCGCCTGTGCGCGCCCGGAGGAGGAGGAGGAGGCGGAGGGGTGGATGGGGGAAGGACCGCGGCGGTCGCGGTGAGGCGGCGGCAGCGGCCGGCATGGAGGGCAGCGCCCGCTCCCGCGGCGGCGCGCCGGGGCCAGTGGCCTGCTAGGGACCGGCCAGGGGGGATCTCCGCGGCCGCCCTTCCCCGCTTCCCGCCCCCCCCTTTCCCCGCCGCCTTCCCCCGCCCGCCTGGAAGCATGAACTGGCAGCGGAGGTGCTGCTCCCCGCCGCCGCCTCCCCGCCGGTGAGAGCGAGGAGGGAGGGAAGATGGGGGCCGTCCTGCGCAGCCTACTCGCCTGCAGTTTTTGTTCCCTGATGCGAGGTGAGCGGGGCGGGCGGCGGCGGGAGGGGCAGGGGGAAAGTTGCCGGGTTGGTGGCGAGGGGCCATGTTTGGGCGTGCGGGAGGGGAGCGGCGAGGCCTGGCTGCCGGCGGGGCGCGGGGCCCGGCGCGGGGGCAGCGCTCCCTCCCTCGCTCCCGGCCGCCGCCGCCTCCCGGGCTCCTGAGCAACTTCCTGAGCCGCGCCGGGAGCAGCCCGCCCTGCCAGCGGCCACCGGCCGCGTCCCGAGCCGCCCCATTGTTGTTTTCAAGTTTTTTTCTTGTTTTTTGGTTTGTTTTTTTTTTTAAATCCCCTAAAGTGTCGCACGCTCCCCCCATGTCTCCGTACACCCCCAGCGGCTCCGGGGCAGAGCTCGGCCCCGCCGGTGTCAGGCCGGTCCCGCGGTGGTTCCGGGCTGGTTGTCTCCCGAGGTTCCATCCTGCAGGGGAGCCGGGAATGCCCGGGAGCCGGTGCTGCACCGAGCCGACCCTCGGCAGAGACAGGAGCAGGCAATGCTCGGCTCCCTCAGCTGGGCTGGCTCTGCGCTGGGACTTGAGAGAAGTTTGTTTCTCTGGTGAACCACCACGGATGTTCATACGGCTTTAAATCAGCCTTGCGAGGGRATGTCACTTAAAGTAGCTGAGAATTTTGGTTCTGCTTCCCGACTCCAGCAAAATTTCTTSTCTTGCAGGACACAATCTGAAAGTAAACAGGATTTCAAGTTTTGTTTTTTTTTTTTTCTAATGCTGTAAGCCTAACTGCAGTAACTATTCCTCTGCGTTCAGTCTTTCTTGGAAGAAATCGTCCGTGGTGTTCACATACGTAATTTTTCTGTTTACTTGACTTTGACTTTTTTCATACTAGATGGGTGATTAATTGCTAACAGTTAATCAAGCACATTTTGATTTAGAGAATTCATCCCCACTGGAGTGTTTTGATGAAAGTTAGACTGAAGGTGGTGTAGGTTGAAGTARCTGCTCAGTCTCCAGTTGCTCAGTAATCTGGAAAACAAAGATTTTCATCTCATCCATAGCTTTTTTTTTTTATACCCTGTGCATCTGTTTGCCATATTGTATCCTGTTTGCAGAGACACAAATATACTTACTTAAATGGCATGTGTAACATTTTATACTTAGGTTGTGGCAGTTAAACCCCAATTTTCAAGTTAAGTTGGCTCTGGAGTACAGGGAGAAACTGTTTCCCGATTAGTTTATTTTAATAAGTAACAATCATGCCCATTCTTAATATGCCATGTGTTTGGCTTTAATTTGATGTTCAGTGTTGTTCAAATGACAGCAMAGAAATAACTGGTGTATGTGATGTCACATAATATTGTTACTGTAATTTCTTCAAATTAGTCTCAAAATAGTGGCATGTGCTTGTGCAGATTTTTGTATACTTCGTGCTTAATGTGACTCTGTGAAGAAGCATTTCGTTTATAAATCATACGACTGTCATTTCTTTTCTCATCCCTCACCTCTGTCTATTGCCAAGGACATTTGTATCCAAACAGCATTTCTGTTTCYTCTGTGTTCCTGGTGCCCTGCTGTTTGATCGCCTACCTGAAGCTGTAATCCTCTGTTTGTGACAGGACAGTAATTTTCCTACTGGCTAATTGTTGCTTTAGATAGAGATAAACAGCAGGAACAGCTGAACCGTGAAGAAACMAAAATCAAATTTTAATGCATACATCCTCCCTAATAAACAAGGAGTGGAGTAGGTTGGAGTGAGATGTGTTGAGTTCAGAAGAGGTGTCAGCAGTTCCTTAATGAGGCACAGGCAGTGCCAGCAGGAGTATGAATAAGCTCATACATGAAAGTAGAGTTGAAGTTGGGAAGTTCAGTATTTGGTTTGTGAATTCARTGCTGTAGAGGATGCCAAGCCAACAGTGCTGGAGACAGAAACTTAGCAAATGTAAGAGTGTGTGTTGGTGGATTGCAGCATCTTCTCAGCCTCCCTGTTCTTGCAGAAAAGGCAAATGGACTGAGGTTTACAGCAACTATGGTCATTACTCTGAAGAAACTGTGGTAGCCTTGCTTACCAATCTGGAAGGGAATAAAATTGGTACCCTGGAAATRCATAAGGACTTGAAGAAGTATGAGGTTGTTATTGGCTAGAAATGGATGCACAGGTCAAGGCACCTGTCTCAAAAATCATCCAAGGACTGCAATAACTACTGATGTTTCCAGGGCAAGCATTTGGATTTCTAAGAGATAGGAGGCTACCATCACGACAGCTTGCTGTGGAGTTCTRTGGTTTGGGCTTGGGGTTTTTTTTATTGTTATGACTGCTGGAAGAAAGATGTCTGTTCTCTGCTCTTGGCCCATGGTTTGATTTGGGGATTGGGCTTCTGCCTCTCTGACCAACAGTGCTTCTTCCCTGAGGGTCCTTATGGTGGAGCAGAGTTAGAGTTCTCCATGGCAGCTTTGAGGTGTTCTTCTGGTCAGAGACATAATTGTTAGAAAACTGACAGCTGCAAAGASGCAAAAGCAGTGTCATCACATCTGTCAGGGTGCTACAGATAACTGTGAAACCGAGGTTTCAACTTTTTATGAAGTGACTGAGATTTTYCTCCACCAGTGCTCAAGGCATGCAGTTGTTGTTTTGTTTTGGCTTTAAACCCTGATCAAGCARTCATTGCATAAAGCTCTTGCTTGAATAAGAATCTTATAAAAGGGTGTTTGTGCAAACCTACTGAATGTTGTAGACCTCTGTGTTTAGGGTCAGATAGTGAAGAAATGAAAATGCCTTTTTTTGGTAATGGAGGTTATAAAACTCTTGCTTTCTTAGAGTCCAGAAGAAAGTTTGTTTTAATCCATTATTATTATTATGTTTCTGTTTTAATTTGTTTTAATCAGTTTTAATTTGCTGTTTCTGTTTTCATAAAACAGATCCTTGCTTTTTTGTATTTTTTTTAGATAGGTACATTTGCATGTTGTTCAGAAGAGTTTGATGTTCAGGAGTTTGCTCTGTCTGGTGGTATGTGCACAGATTTTTCTATAAGAAGTCAGAGAAGAGGATAAAGAATAGGTTTTTACTCCTGAAACATTCATGTTGGAGATGAAGTGTGGCATTTCCAGCTAGAGCTATGTTTTTRCCTTCAGGTGAAGGGTCTCTTCACCTAGAGACTGTACAATACTATGACAATAAGACTTGGAAATTTTATTTATTTATTTTTTAATAATCATAGTCTATTTCTTCACCCAAGCTTAAATCAACCATTTTCTAGTCGTGTTTCTTCATTGTATGGTTCCTCAAACCAGTGTGCCTTTGTCTGCCATGATTTYCATTGCATTTTCATCTTTCATCTCTTCATGAAACAGTCCAAAATTAGTGTGATCTAAGGTGTTCCAAAATCCACCATTAATTTAATAGCTCTTTCAATTTAATCTCTGTGATATAGTTTACTTATCATCAGATTGCTTTAGCTTTTATTTAAAACTGAAAAATTAGGACTTGGAAAGTTTGATGGCATTTTTTTGCGATGTCTCAGAGGTGAGGTTGCATTTTTGCCAAGGTACACTGAAGATACAGGGAAGTCCTGGTCAGAGCTATATTCAGGTAAAGGACTTCTTGTATCCTTCAGAGCTGAGTTACCTGAAGATACTCAGGTGGAAAGCTTTRTTCTTGTTTCTCAGCAATACTGGTTGGAGGGGCATGAACTGTATTCATGTTTCTTTTTTTCCCTTGTGAGTTCCTTCAATCTGCATTCCTGGAGTTCTAGGTAAGGAATTTAGCTAGGAGCTGTAGTAAATGTAGAAGAGTTTTGGGTGTTTTTTGGG